GGATACTTTAATTAATAATTGGTGATATTTCCACAAGGATCCTTCAAGAAATGAATTTTATAGCGAATTTTGAAAGTTATCGATGAAAATTACAACATCGAAAATTTTATCAATTCTTCAAATATTGTTTTCTCAAAAACTAAAAGTTATTTTTCAAAACGGGTTGGTTCATTGGAAAGAGGACACTTTTATTAACACTTTGGGAAATTTTCATGCTCATATTCCAAGAAATTTATTTTATACGAATTTTAAAACATAGTTGCTAGGTTAGATCGTGGATTGCACGTAGAAATAACCTAGGTGCGCCTAGTACTTTAATTAGAGAATTATGCCATGGAGATCATTAAGCATTTTTTAATCATTTAAGAATGACGGAAGAGAGCTTCATGTTTTTGTTGAGGCAAGTATCCTCTAAAATACAAAAACAATATATGCAAGCGACTTTAACATTTTTGGCCTCTCGAGATTCTTTTACATCATTACAATATATGTATCGTTTCCCAAAAAGCACATTTTTTTTTGCTTTTGGAGAGGGTTCGTCAAAATTAGGAACAGTTTTCTTCATAATTTTAACTATCCTTCTGACAGCTTCATTTCGTGCTTGTCGATCCTTATATTGTGGAATTTTCTGAATCCACAAACAAGGATATTGTTCATACGTTTCTAGAAATAGTACTGTTTGTTGTGATATTTCCACAAGGATCCTTCAAGAAATTAATTTTATAGCAAATTTTGAAAATTATCGATGAAAATTGCAACAAAATTTTATCAAAACTTCAAATATTGTCTTCTCAAAAACTAAAAGTTATTTTTCAAAACGGGTTGGTTCATTAGAAAGAGGTCACTTTTATTAACACTTTGAGAAATTTTCAAACTCATATTCCAAGAACTGGAAGAAGAAAACAAGAAGAAAACAATATTTATTTGGACTTATATAAAAATTATAACAATAAGAAATACGAAAAGAAATACATATATAAAATAAATATAAAAAAAGAGTCCAAAAGGGCTATAGACCTCAGTCTTCCTGCCCGTGATTTTGAATTCGGTTTGGTTGTACTTGGGTCTTCTCAGTTGTGCCTTATTTTTTTAAGAAGTGTAAGCCGTGTTATGGGACAGCGGGTAAGGGAAAGGGGAATGATGATGAGATTTTTTAAGGCGTTTTTGGGGAAGTTCATAGTTGCTTTAAGGGCTAAGGATTGTAGACGGGAGTTTATAGGAAGAATCTTTGTAAGGTCGTAAAGGAGTTCGTTGGAAGGGTTGAATAGCGGGTTGTGAGGGTGTCTAATGCGGGTGATAATTCTCAGGGCTGCTCTCTCTGCTACTTCCAGATGGTACTGTGATCCTCTTGGCGCTTCAGTCATGATTAATGAGGCATATTCGATAATAGGTCGGCATATTGAGGTGTATATGTGAGTAGCGCATTTGGTGGATATCCCTCGGCCTCTATATGAGAGTGAGCGGAAGTGTGTGGCGCGGTTTTTGACTTTCATTTTTACTTTGATGGCGTGGGCACAGAATTTAAGGGTTCTATCCAAGGTAATGCCTAGGTAGTTGCAAGTTGGTGATGCTGTGATAGGAGAAGATTGAAGGGGATGAAGAATTGGGTTTTGGAAGGATTTATCAGGATACGCCATTTTCGGTACCATTCCTCTATGTTTTGAATGAGCGTCTGCAGCCTTAGGATTGATGATGGAATGTCTACATCATGTGCGACGAGAGTAGTATCATCGGCATAAAGTAGGGCGTAAGACATCGGATCGAAGACGTCTGGGTTGTCGTTGTAGATGTCATGGCAGTAGACGTTGTACAGTGCTGGCGAGATGGCAGAGCCTTGAGGGAGACCTTGTTGAGCGGTGAAACTGTGAGAGTAGTAGTTTTTCACTTTAACCAANAAATTGCAACATCGAAAATTTTATCAAAACTTCAAATATTGTTTTCTCAAAAACTAAAAGTTATTTTTCAAAACGTATTCGTTCATTGGAAAGAGGACACTTTTATTAACATTTTTGGAAATGTTCATACTCATATTCCAAGAAATTGATTTTATACGAATTTTTAAAACTTAATCGGCGAAAATTACAAAATTCGAAAAAATTGTCGATCACTTCAAAAATTTATTTCTCAAAAACTAAAAGTGATTTTTCAAAACGCTTCTTTGCATTAAAAAGAGGATACTATAATTAATAATTGGTGATATTTCCACAAGGATCCTTCAAGAAATTAATTTTATAGCGAATTTTGAAAGTTATCGATGAATATTGCAACATCGAAAATTTTATCAAAACTTCAAATATTGTTTTCTTAAAAACTAAAAGTTATTTTTCAAAACGGGTGGGTTCGTTGGAAAGAGGACACTTTTATTAACAATTTGAGAATTTTTCATACTCATATTCCCAGAACTGGATTTTATACGAATTTTTAAAATTTAATCGGCGAAAATTGCAGAATTCGAAAATATTTTTGATCATTTCAAAAATTTATTTCTCAAGAACTGAAAGTGATTTTTCAAAACGGCTATTTGCATTGCAAAGACGATACTGTAATTAATAATTGATGATATTTCCACAAGGATCCTTCAAGAAATAAATTTTATAGCGAATTTTGAAAGTTATTGATGAAACTGCAACATCGAAAATTTTATCAAGACTTCAAATATTGTTGTAGGAATCCATGTTGCAAGTTTATATATATGTAAAGGAAAATGTTTAATTTAATTCGAGCATTTCTTATAAAATCGAAATAGATTTTATAAGAAGTGCTCGTCCCGACGTTTTGTTCTTGTTTCTGTTTTCATTTTATTTCGTGACAGTTTTAATTTTTAACATTTTAATAATATTTTAATATGTTTAAACACATGTGTTATATCTACATTTCTAAATTTTAACAACTCTCTTTCTGACGATTTGGCTGATGATGACTAGGTGTAGTCGAAACCGGTACCTTTAATAATAAATAATTCACAAGCAAGTAAGAAGTTTTTTATTAAATTAAATTAAACATTTTCCTTCAAATATTATTTTCTCAAAAACTAAAAGTTATTTTGCAAAACGTATTGGTTCATTGGAAAGAGGACACTTTAATTAACATTTTGGGAAATGTTCATACTCATATTCCAAGAAATGGATTTTATAGGAATTTTTAAAACTTAATCGGCGAAAATTGCAGAACTCGAAAAAATTGTCGATCATTTCAAAAATTTATTTCTCAAAAACTTAAAGTGATTTCTCAAAACGGCTTGTTGCTTTAAAAAGATGATACTTTAATTAATAATTGGTGATATTTTCACAAAGATCCTTCAAGAAATTAATTTTATAGCGAATTTTGAAAGTTATCGATGAAAANCAAAATTTGACATAGTCACAAATTGGTTGATGTGTCTGTTTTTGGCTGGGTTTGGGTTAAAGTCACCGATTATTAGACAATTGTCGTACCGTGCAGCCATGTTAAATATTGTTTCTTCTATCTTACTAAAAGGATGTATATAAACCAACAATAGTAAAATGGAGGGCGTTGTTTAGAGGAGAATTTATTCTGGGAGGATTAGCTTTTCCAATTTGTAACGCAGGATCGCCCATAACCACCGCCTCTGACACCCCTGTTCACAATATTTCCCAATTCTTGGATCATTGTCCAATCTTTGAAGTTAATTAGCGATTTGGCTTTAGTTTCAACGAACATCGCACCGTGAATGCGGTTTACAGAAATATAGTTTCCGATTAGGTATTTTTTTGGGGCATAGCTGTTAATGTTTACCAAGAACTGGATTTTATATGAATTTTTAAAACTTAATCGGCGAAAATTGCAAAACTTGAAAAATTGTCGATCATTTCAAAAATTTATTTCTCAAAAACTTAAAGTGTTTTTTCGAAACGGCTTGTTGCATTAAAAAAAAGATACTTTAATTAATAATTGGTGATATTTTTACAAGGATCCTTCAAGAAATTAATTTTATAACGAATTTTGAAAATTATCGATAAAAATTGTAAGATCGAAAATTTGATCAAAATTTCAAATATTGTTATCTCAAAAACTAAAAGGTATTTTTCAAAATGGGTTGGTCTATTGAAAAGAGGACACTTTTATTAACACTTTGGGAAATTTTCATACTCATATTCCAAGAACTGGATTACTAGACGAAATTGCAACAAGAGATTTTATATATCGTATTGGGATTGTTACAATGAGGTTGCTAATGACAAACCTGATATAAATAAAGTTGTATTCAATGAAAAAAGTCCTATTGGGGTTGAACTTGATTATTATCTGCAGTGTNGTTTTCTCAAAAACTAAAAGTTATTTTTCAAAACGGGTTGGTTCATTGGAAAGAGGTCACTTTTATTAACACTGAGAAATTTTCATACTCATATTCCAAGAACTGGATGGCTTAATCGGCGAAAATTGCAGAACTCGAAAAAGTTGACGATCATTTCAAAAATTTATTTCTCAAGAACTGAAAGTGATTTTTCAAAACGCCTTGTTGCATTAAAAAGAGGATACTTTAATTAATAATCGAACGTGGTAACAGTTGATGATGAATTATAAGCGAAGAGAAGAAAACTAGACGAAATTGCAACAAGAGATTTTATATATCGTATTGGGATTGTTACAATGAGGTTGCTAATGACAAACCTAATATAAATAAAGTTGTATTCAATGAAAAAAGTCCTATTGGGGTTGAACTTGATTATTATCTGCAGTGTCCAACACCTAAAAAAGATGCTAATTCCTTTGAATGGTGAAGTACTATGTACATAATATGTTTTAATATCTGGCCAATCCGGATATTTGGTAACTATCCGGTATCCGACCGGTTTAAAAAAATGTATATACATGTATAAATGAAATATACATGAAACATATTAAGTAGAAATAACTACAAATTCATCAAAAAATTCTTTCAAACTTTATTTACCCAAAAAAGTTTCTTTACAATTTATTTTTTTTATTTATCAAATTAAATTCTTTAATGCTTCTTATCATCAATTTCATGTTCTTCGTGGTGATGTTTCTTATGATGCTTATTTTCGTGTTTACCATGATGTTTTTTATGAGGTTCATGTTGAGCTTCCCTTTTTAAATGTTCCCCGTGTTTCTTATGACCATGTCTATCACTATGTCCCTTACGTTTTGATCCACCAATTATAAGCGAACCGGGTGTTGTGGTTGTGGATGTAGTGGTCGTTGTGGTTGTTGTAGGAAAGTGCTCAATGTAATCATAATCTTCGGTTGTTGAAGGTGACGGAGATTGCGTCGGAGTTGGTGTCGGGGTTGATGTTGGTGTTGCGGGAGGTTCTGGGGTTGTCGAATTAATTACCGAATGAATCCAAACTAAGTATGCCGAAACGTCTACGTATAACGTTATGTTATCGTTATCTGGACACTTTTTATATGAAATCAACCCTAAAATGTATTTAGTTGTGGTATTATCTTGAGAAATTAGTGGTCCACCTAAATCTGATCCACAACCGTAAGGTTTCGTTTCTTTTGCACCCCCGGCGCAAAAATTTTTATCAATCAAAGTGGTGTCTTCGCCGATTGCTGCTAAAGATTTATTGCAATAATCGTTTGTGTATATTAAAACTCTAGCTTCGTTGATGTAGCATGTTTTTTGTTGCTGGTCATAATTAATTAGTCCTGCTCCTGTTATAATTCCTTCGGTTGATCTTTGACTTTCTGAGATTGGTGCTGATGGTAAACAAACCGGTTCGAATGTTGTGGCTTCGGATAATTTTATTAACGCAATGTTATTGGCGCGTTTGGTTACGTCAAAACCGGAGTGTATGTAAATTGTTTGAACTGAAAATGTTTTTTGGGTCGTTTCGTTTGTGTTACATCTGTTGTAAGCTCCTAATGTTACTGTGTAGACACCGGTTATGTTGTGATCGCTGGAAATTTGATTAATGTGTTAATAATTTTGATGAAAATTTAAAAATAATCTTACGGTTTTACTGGAAGGTACTCTTTGAAACAACTTGCAACGGTTAAAGCAAATTGTTCGTTAATCATAGTGCAGGTACATTTTAGAGCGTTATTTTGTTTAATTATCCCTAACCATGGGTATTTGTAATAACCTATATCATATCCTGATATGATCCTGGTTTGGAGATTTTTCTCCAAAGATTTTCCACACGATGAACATTCTGCAACAGGAGTTTTCGCTGCAGATAAAAATGGATGATTTAATTAGGTTTTTTTGAAAAATTACTTACGTGCGCATTGAAATGACAATGCAACAAGCAAAAGATTAATAAGTATCTTTTTTCCTGCCATTCTAAAAGCCCAGACTTGTATGGTTTCGAATCACCTGGAAAACAGTATTTAAAGGTTGTGTCGTGGGATTCCTAACATTTCTCCACATCGTACGTAACTCGAGAATCTCTGCATATTTTGCGTTTCTACTTCGATGAGTCCTTTTCTATAACAATTTACGTCTTTTTATAATTTACGTTTTACGTTTTCTTTTAAATGGGGCGTCATAAAACTCAATAAGTACAAGAATGAAAAACAACAATCAATTTTCTTTGAATTCAATCATACTTTTAACAAGTTGTGTTTTATAATATAAAGTAATTTCTTTAGTTACGAAATTTTACCTTGATAAGAATCGTTTAATGTTAATGCTTTTAAGATTTTTCAAATTGTTTTTGCTTCGACATTTTTGTTATTTGTGTAGGTTATGGGTTTTGTAAATGTTTTACTTATATACATATAGTCGCTTTTAAAAGATAACAACAAAAGTAATCAGTTTACAATGTTTAATTTTAAATAAAAATAAGCGTTTTAGTACAAAATATTTTTTTGATGTAGAATTTCTTTAAGTGAAGGAATTTGAAGAATAATAAATCAATTTCTTTGTTATTTTCTACTTATTATTTATTTATTAAGAGTTATTTTTTTAATATCGAGCTATTTATTGAATTTTTATTTTTCAAAATTCAATTTTATTTAATTTCTTGTTCATTTTCCTTATTTCAAAGACAGTTTTCGTGCGCATTGACTTTTTCTTATCCGAACGATTTTTCTTATGACTTTCATTTCCTTCTCCTTTTCTGGGCTCCCTTTTCTTCTCCCCATCATCATCTTCATCGTCATCATTTTCATCATTATCTTCACCATCATCGCTTTCATCATCATCGTCACCATCATCATCACCATCGTCTCCTGGTCCTGGAGGATTTTCATCAGTTATAGGAGCGTTAGTTTTCTCATTAATCCAATCTAAATATTTTGAAACATCTGTGTAAATGCCTAAAAGGTCTTTATCGGCACATTTATAACCGAAAGATGTTAAACCTTAAAAAAAAATTGGATAAGACTCAGGAAAAAGACTCCGTTGTATAATTTATTACCTAAAAGTACAAATCTACTTCCTGATTCAAGAACCATTAAAGGACCTCCACTATCACCCTTAAAAAAAGGAACAATAAATTTTAATTTAACAATTTACATACTTGACGTTGTGTGATGGTGAGATGAGCTGGTAAAATGTTATTTGCATCTTTTTACCAACTTTACATGCCAACGCCAAGTTAGAGCAACATTTAGCATTAATGACGAGCACATATTTGATATGTATTTGATTAGCATTTGAAAGAAATAATTATTAAAAGGAGTGTCAAAAGACAAAAATTTTAAATTATCTTGGATATACCGTTTCAGGAAACAGAGTGAGCCAGAACAGAAAAGTTAACCCATAACTTCTAAGGTGGAATGGATGGTTGCAGGAGTTTGCTTTTCATCGAGCATGATGTGGCAGAAGACGTCAAAGTACCAATTTCCATTATGGAGGAGTTTTATTTGAAAAATATTTTGATACAAACAATAATTAGAGAGATAATCTTGTCGAAACGCGGATCATCTATCATCATTAGCAGAAGATATCCACAACGTTACTCTTGGAAACCAGAGGAAATATCACAAAAGAGGTACAATGTACTAAATAATGAAACAGACAATCCAGATAACGACAATAATGATAATCCTACCTCGCAAACAGAAAAGGGACCTAAAATTCCACCCATATTTTTACATAATGCCAAAAACCACAAAGAAATAATAAATGATATCAAATCTTTACCTTCCACTAGTTTTACAACACTTAAAAATAATGCACTAAAGATTAACTTAAGATCAATCGACGACTATAGAACTCTAACTAAATATTACACAGAAAATAAGTTAGAATTTCATACCTATCAAGATGCTTCAAAGAAAACACTCGCAGTAGTACTGAGTAATGTCCCGATATCAATCACAAAGCGCGAAATAAAAGAAGAATTACTCAGCAAAAAGTTACCTATAAAAATTGTGACAAGACTATTAAGTAAAACTAAAAATGCGATTCCACTATGTGCCGTTGGAATAACGCCAACAGAGAAAGCCAAAGAAATATTTAATATCAAAGAAATAAGCAAAACCATCACTACAGTGGAACCAAGGAAAAAATCAGAAAAGGCCAAAGGAAAGGGGCACACAAAAAATTATTGCTCTCTTAAACAAAAATGCGTTAAATATGGTAAAGAACACAATCACGCTCAATGCAAGAAAAGGAAAAGTGATCCTCCCAAATGTGCCAACTGCGGAGAAGCTCATCCTGCTAATTACAGAGGATGTAAGGTTCATACTGATTTACAACAGCAGAACACACGACAAGTAAGACGAAGCACACACAATTCCCAGCAATTCTCACCATATCGCGAAATACTCCCAACAATTATCCATGCCTCCTAAAACATTACAGAATTTAATAAACATCAATATCCTAAACTTCAATGCCAACGGCACAATATCGATATCGCTTGCATAACAGAAACCCATCTAGCACCAGGAGAAGACTTTAGAATAACAGGTTATAACTGTTTCCAAACAGATACACATTCCAGAATAGCAGCGGGAGGAGTTGCAATTTTAATAAAAAGAGATAAAAAGAGGTATCAATATCAATATTCAAATATTTAGACAATCGTAAAGAAAATACAATTATATGTGGATAACGGCAACCAAACGTAAACCTGGAGGAAAATGACATCAGAGATATATTTGGTAACAACGATGATGGAAAAATCCTTATTGGAGATCTAAACAGTAAAAATATATTCTGGGGGTGCAGGGCACATAATCCTAATATGGATGAATATACCTATTATCTCTACAGAAGGGATTATTAACCGGACATTCTAGACCTAGTAATAACGAAAAATGTAAATTTCCCCATTCACCAATCATTAGTTAATGAATTGGACTCTTACTTATAATTACTTTCAATCAAGAACTGACTCCATACCCTAAAATACCTAGACTAATCAACGGATTTGTATGTTGGGAAAGCTTTAAAAATATTATGAATAATTTTCAGTTAGAGCCACCTGTATCAGAATACTAACGCAAAATATAGCAAAAGCGGTCCAAACTTCTACAATAAATAACTCACCTAATATTAATATGAGAAGAGACCATCTGCTTTCAACGTCTCTCATGGATATGATAAAAGAAAAAAGAAATATCAGAAGACAATGGCAACATACACGTGAACCTCAACTAAAATAACAAATAAATCAACTTATACACGCAATACATAAAGCATTGGAAGAAGATCGTATAGAAAAGTATCAACATTTGATATCACAATGGTACAACAATTCAATGAAAATCATCTCCTGGTTAACACAGTATGCGAAGACCCCACCACGATAGAAGAGATACGAGCAATACTAAAATACATACTAACCACGAAAACCTCGGGACACCATTTAATACCCAATATAGTACTGAAAAACATTCCAGAGTCGACAGTCAATCAAATATGCTACATCTATAATACCAGCCTTAATCTAGGCTACTTCCCAATAGCACGGAAGAAAGCGGAACTACTGATGTTTTCAAAACCGGGAAGAGAGAAAACCGAATATCAAAACTGCAAACCAATAAGCCTATTACCTACTCTTTATAAAATATTAGAAAAAATTATTCATACCAGGCTATCAGACATAATTGACGATCTAAAGATCTTGCCTAGTTTCCAATTTGAATTTCGCAAATCATATTCAACGGTACATAAACTAACCAGCGTCATAAATATCATCGAACAAGGTTACGAAGATAAGAAGTATACAGCGGCTGGCTTTCTAGATGTAGCAAAAGCATTCAAATTACCTACAAGCTATAATAATCTCATTTTTGGAAGAACGTACCTTTATAGTACGTATTAATGGATATACATCAACGACTAAACAAGTGAAAGCAGGGGTCCCACAAGACAGCTCCTTATCGCCGTTGCTATTCAACATATATGTATGTATGACATACCAATACCTAGGCTAAGCAGTCTAGGAATGTTTGCAGATGACATGGTAATTTTAACACAAAGCTATGATCTGGAAGAAATTATAGAGCAGCTGCAAACTTCACTCAACGAAATTATTAAATGGCTGAATAAATGGAATATACTCAAACACTCAAACAAATGCGAACCTTGCTAACAATAAATAACCACGAAATAAAATGAAATCCAAAAGACAAAGCAGGAAATAATCTGGAAGTCATGCTAGATCAAAGGTTAACATGGAGTATACATATCAACTACAAACTAAATCAACTATATCTATATATAGTATAATATAACTATATCAACAAACACTAAATTCTAACGAATTAAAAATGTAATGAATAGATATTAAAACAACCTGTAGAACATATGTATATAATTATTTATTATGTTGATCTGGTTTATAAAAAATAAAAGAAAAAAAGGAAGATAATCTTGAATTCCATTTCTATGCTGTTCACAGGGAAATTAAAAACTTAATAATTTTAAAAAATGGTGCCAACAAAAGTTGTTCCCTGCTTAATTCTTAACAAGTTTTATTTGAAAAATATTTTAATACAAATAATACTTAGGAAGATAATCTTGAATTCAATTTCTATACTGTTGACAGGGAAATTAAAATATTGATAATTTTCAAAAATGGTGGTAGGTAAAGTTGTTCCTTTTTTAATTCTTAACAAGTTTTATTTGAAAAATATTTTGATATAAACAATAATTAAAAAGATAATCATTTTTATACTGTTGACAGAGAAATTACAAAATTAATAATTTTTAAAAATGGTGCCAGGTAAAGTTATTCCTTTTTTGATTCTTAACAAGTTTTATTTGTAAAATATTTTGATACAAATAATAATTAGGAAGATAATATTGAGTTCAATTTCTATACTGTTCACAGGGAAATTAAAAAATTGATAATTTAAAAAAATTATGCCAACAAAAGTTGTTCCTTGTTTAATTCTTAACAAGTTTTATTTGAAAAATACTTTGATACAAACAATAATTAGGAAGATAATCTTGAATTCCATTTCTGTACTGTTCACAGGGAAATTAAAAAATTGATAATTTTAAAAAATGGTGCCAACAAAAATTGTTCCTTGTTTAATTCTTAATAAGTTTTATTTGAAAAATACTTTGATCCAAACAATAATTAGGAAGATAATCTTGAATTCCATTTCTGTACTGTTCACAGGGAAATTAAAAAATTGATAATTTTAAAAAAATAGTGCCAACAAAAGTTGTGCCTTGTTTAATTCTTAACAAGTTTTATTTGAAAAATATTTTAATACAAATAATACTTAAGAAGATAATCTTGAATTCCATTTTTATACTGTTGACAGGGAAATTAAAAAATTGATAATTTTAAAAAATGGTGCTAACAAAAGTTGTTCCTTGTTTAATTCTTAATAAGTTTTATTTGAAAAATATTTTGATACAAACAATAATTAGGAAGATAATCTTGAATTCAATTTCTATACTGTTCACAGGGAAATTAAAAAATTGATAATTTTAAAAAATGGTGCCAACAAAAGTTGTTCCTTTTTTGATTCTTAACATGTTTTATTTAAAAAATATTTTGATACAAACAATAATTAGGAAGATAGTCTTAAATTTCATATCTATACTGTTCACAGGGAAATTAAAAAATTGATAATTTTAAGAAATGGTGCCAACAAAAGTTGTTCCCTGTTTAATTCTTAATAAGTTTTATTTGAAAAGTATTTTGATACAAACAATAATTAGGAAGATAATCTTGAATTCCATTTCTATACTGTTGACAGGGAAATTAAAAAAATTGATAATCTTAAAAAATGGTGCCAACAAAAGTTGTTCCTTTGCTAATTCAAAACAAGTATTATTTGAAAAATATTTTGATACAAACAATAATTAAGAAGATAATCTTAAATTCCATTTCTATACTGTTTACAGAGAAAAATATTTTGATACAAACAATAATTATTTAATTTTTTTATATATAAAATAATCTTAAGTTGCAAATGTTGTGATAAAAGTAATTACACTCTCGAATGCAGAATAAAATAAGCTTTCGAATCGTTTATTATATTTTATACAGGTTTCCCA